ACCATACTACCACCACTAGACACCCTTCACAGCTGTCTCAAGAATGTCATCGGTGAAAAAAATTGAAGATAAATCGGATAGCTCTGGAGATGTCTGATGTTGGTTTGAAAAAATAGAGAAAGGTGACTGTTCTCCCATACTACTCTACATAATGTTTTAAAGTATGCTAGGCTTTCGAAACGTTCAAAAACTTTCCATGAACACTTCCCTATGAAAAATAACAACTTCAGAGTAGAGCCCCATACAACAAATTCAAGGCAACCTTACTATCAAGAAACACAACGATTGTTGGCCTGAGATTTGCGTAACGGTGTTTCAGCATTTGATGGGGTGGAGTAAAACTAGTGATCAGTAGGTCCACGACCTGAATGAAATCTGTCCGGCTTTTTACGGAACATCATTTCACGTGTTTCGCATACCTTCAGAAGTGTGTAGCAGTCAATATTTTGGATGCTAGTGCCAGCAGGCTAATAATTCAATGTTTAGCACACAGTTACGTTACGTAGACCATTTACAAAGATGAGCACTGACTTCATTCCAGAGTGACGGAACACGTTCAGTCTGTTATGCCTTCTCAAACAGTATGGTCACTCCCCTGATTACACTGTCATCTGCATGCTTGAAAAGAGTCAGTGACAAGTCGTCTGAGTCGGGTGTTTTATGGGACTTTGGTACTTGCAGTTCTTTTTGAAGGCCTCCGCTTCGTTGGGCGAGTTTGTGTTAGCTACCCACGGAAGACGTGACGCTGAAGACAATGTCACTAGAGCAGTAGACCAGCTAATTTGGATTCTGAAATGCTTTAACTGGACTCCTATGCGTCTACATAGTCTGTTGATTGGGGTACCATTTACGTCACAGACCATACCACTGACTTCAGGTTTCTAGCTGTCAGTGGCTCGTACAAGCTGAAACAGCTTCCGATAACTATTTAACCGATGCTTTCTTCTTACATTCATTGTAACCATGTAGCGTCATAATCTCTATGCGAATACTGTGTGGTCTGTCGCGTATAGGATTTACGCATATTATTCTACGCCGTATGCCTTTATTAGCCAATGAGCATCAGTAGGTTGCGGGAGGTCGCAGTACTAGAGGGAAGCGATTTTCTTATATCAGCCTGTTTAAGACGGCGGTCTTGATGGCTACCAAAGCACAAGATTGACTTGGCACATACTAAGGCATGACCACGGTCCAGACAGGTGGTCCATAAATAGTTGCAGCTCTAAACACACCCAGATCATCTTTAACTAGTCGTGATATGATCTGTTTGAGTCCAGGCTTGATTGACAGAGCGAACAGCGCGTCGTAGCATAAGGATGATGTCTTCACTTGAGGTTGTTGCTGGCTAGAAATAGGTTGTGATGTTCTCACAACTGTAGAAAATGCTCGTCATTCATCATCCTCATCAGAATCAACATTAGACCAGCGATTACTGCGTAATCGCCTGGACGACCCTCCTCTGAACCTAGACATAGCCTGTGCGTTTAAGGCCTCACCTCGCACCACAAAATGTCATACACTTGGTAGAAGGGGTCAACCAACTGTTGACAGAACTCATCCTTAACTGCATCCGATCTGCAATTCATCGGAGATGACGATGGAGACGACGTAGAGACTTCTTATCCCTCGTCAGTTAATTCACTCCAGTCGGACCTTCCTACCTAACAATACACAGATCACCAATGATATAGCTGCAATCAACTAGCGCAGGATCGACCCTGGCACCAGCATCAGGCAATGGGGGATGCTGATGCTTCAGGGCTCCCAGACGAGAGCCTGGTAAATACTTTGAGTGGACAGGAAGGAGATATTTGAAACACGTCACCAGTATCTTTGAAATACAGCACACATCAATGATGAGCCTTTCAGAGTCCTATCCAACGTATCCCTTGTTCAATCAAATCAGGTGTTTTCAAATCTTCCTGATCTGGCCGGCAGGCACTGCTGACCAGTGTGAATAGTCTATAACTAGTGTCAGTTAGTAGTATATTTGGTACAGCTGTCCAGTTTTGCATCAAGGTCCGAAAATTGATTGCAGTTTTTAAATGGTACGCTTGCTTTCAGAATTGTTGTTATATATCATACAAGGGACCCTTCCATAGAAGCAACTTGAGAGCATGCAGACAGACTAGAATTTCAGTCAATAAGAAGCAACTGAGTGAAATAAAGATGCAAATTAAAACAAATTTGAAGTTTAGCAAAGAAAATAGCGTAGTTTATATGAAACGGTGATAAATGTCAGAATGGGTAGAATTTGATTTTTATGATACAGACTTGAGTGTTTGCAGAACAGTCTGAGCAACGCATTGGAATCTTTTGTTTTACAGTGTTTCATTCTTCGTGTGTAAGCTGTGCTGCTTCTGGGATGCCCAGATCCAAGCAGATGATTATCTTTTCCATCCTTTGAAATAAATTCTTCATTTTCAGGGTTGTTTCATGGTTTTATAAGAACTGAGATATTGTCCGGATGCCATGACTAAAACAGAGAAATAATGTAAATAAATTCCATTGACGAATGGTATTAAGAAATGTTGCCCATACACGTTAAGCCATAGGTCGAAACTATATCGTCAAATGGAATCTTACACCTCTGCGATTTTCGCCCAACGTGTGGATTACTTAGTGGCACAAGTAAAATGAGTTGTGTGGACAGTTCTGAGTATATATATATATATATATATATATATATATATATATATATATATATATATATATATATATATATATATATATATATATATATATATATATATATATATATATATATATATATAATCCATGTATGTAGTCAATGAATTTACTTCCTACAGTCAAACTACACGTCAAAATATCAATCCCATAGGTTTTCCTAACAAGAGATGGTCTCCAGTCGTTTCAGGTTTACGGTGTTATCGTAAGCCACCACCGCTTAATATTTCCTTTTATTTGCAGGTTTTGTCTATCACAGATTTTTTTGGTATTGCATATTACATTTTGCAGACAGGAGGGCCAGTTTTAGCGCAAATGGATCCACAAGGAAAATTTATTCACTTTAGATTATTTCGTGAAGCAACTCGTTATAAAGAAGGGAAACATATCAAGGATTTGTCATGTCTTAACAGAGATTTATCTCGTGTAGTGCTCGTGGACTGGGATCCAATTGCGGCTCAGTTACAACCCCGTAACTCACTAATCATCAAACGCTGGGATGGAGACGAATCAGACAGGGAACTGATAGACCTTGCCGCCTTTCTAAGAAGTAAGTCCAGTTGTCGTTCATTGAGACTTGAGATTTCCGGTTACTTTTACTGGGTCGAATCTCCTGACTTTCCTTGACAGATGGGCTACTATGCGGCTGCCTCTATGTTACCAGATATCCCTTATTTCTCCGCCTACATTAGTGGCTAACAGTGGAGTCCCGGGCACGTGTTTCATCTTACTTGGGACTCGTCAACTGAATGTATCTGCACTCACTGTCGAAAGCTCGAGGGTAAGGCGGATTAGGAACCTTCTTATGAGTAGCACACCACTCCCTACCTGTAGTCTTCATGTGCTGGCGGTATGGGTTTATAGCTATCTGCATTCAAAGCAAACAAACATAAATTCCCAACTTCGAAAATGCAGTGTGACAGGTCCCAGACGAATGTCCTCTGAGCTCAATGACCACGCAACATCTGATCGATAGACTTCGATAAGTGCTGAGCAGTAAAAACTAAACAGGTACATCCGATCTCCACTGATGACCGATTCGTGTACATAATCTTCTACACTGTCATTAGCGTCATGAATAGCTTGGCGTTCATAGCTCTGACTTCAGCATTGAGTGATGCAGCTTCAAACCATCGATGTGACATCAAGTGTGGTTATTCAATTGACCTCACGCGGTCAATATAGTGAGTATGCAAAGCTCACTTTCGAGTTTCTGGAAATTCACTGGTTAGTTTTCGGGTTCTTCCAGGTGTACGTACGGCGCTGAGTCTGAGGGCAGATAGCATACTGCTCACCGTTTCCCAGTTGACAGTCATCTGCGAGCTGTTCGATTGAATAATGGACTGAGGACCACAAAGAGCAGTAAAAATTCCTGTTGTTTCTTTGCAATCTGTGCTGAAGTGCCCCCTGACTGTAGTTCATATGAATTGATGGATGACTTCTACTGAGAGATGCGAGAAATGCACCCCACAAATTCTCGAATTGCTAATCAAGGTGTCCAGAAGACTGCTTCTCGACCTAACATGGCTAAGTCATCTGCATACTCTAAGTTTACTAAGGAGCATCACGTAACGAAATCGATCCCGGTAAAGTCCGACTAGGCAAGGGAGACCTCCATAACCAGGTCCATGACAATGCTAAATGAGAACATAGAGAGCGGGCAACCCTGATGAACATCACTCGACGTGGGAAACACACCCCTGATACCTCACTATGGCCTCAATTACACCCACGAGTGTTTGAATACAGCGCCTTAAACAAGGTGATGTATTTGCTCGGCACTTTTCCAGCTAGAGAGACATTGTCATCAGACCTTTCGATCGACGAAGTGCAATTCCGCCTTCATGTCCAGAAATACAGCTAGTGTCGACTGACTTTCCCCATGATATAAAGGACAGCGAATATGTGGTTAAAAGACTGGCGAACAAGTCTAAAACTTGTTTGGTTTCTTCAGACCCACCGGCCTCGAGGTTCACGTAGACGTCTAGTGATCATAACCCAGAATGTTGGACACCTTATTCGTCGAATTGACTGTGTATGTTCCATGGTTTTAACCCTTTCCAAGCTTTTGTAATTTCATTTCAGTTCATTTGTTTATTATTGGCACCATTTTACCATTGCCTTATACGTCACCATCTCTTCACTTTTCTTTTTCGCTTAAAATAACGCTTCTCATCTTCTCCCATTTGCTTACGCATTACTTCTCCTTTTAAATACTTTTTTCCTCATATCTTCATATCACATTGGTGCTTTCTATCCTTCTCTGCTGATATTCGTTATGAAAACCAGATTCTTTGATGTTTGATGCAAGGTGTTGTGTTTTCCTGTCTGTCTAACCGACTGTCGTAGATCGAGTGGTCATTTTTTTGAGTTGGGATGCAATTTATCCCCAAGTTACTCTTACCACCTGTTTCGATGGATGTAACTATGTGTGATTTTGTTTTTTCCAGTGATTGCAATGGGAAGTGTGGATGATGTTCGTCTAGTCTTAGATTACTACAGAGAGTTTGATGATCCTTTGGCCTTTTTCCGTGAGAAACATGAAGAGCTCATGTAAGTTGATGTTGAATGCTTACCAGTTTGTTGAAAATATATTGTTAGAGTGTTGAGAAGTTATTGAATGATTGAGTGGCTACCTATTAAAACGCCAAAAATCAGAAATTTCCAAATAGATCACTTTCAATTGGGATTTTGATTTGTGTGCTAATGTTTAAATTACTGCTAAGTTTCATTTCTGTTCAGAATCGCTCTAAATAATAGAGTAACCCAGTGGCATTGCTCAGGACTACACATGCGTATTGTTGGAAGGCAGACAATGCAGTCAGATTGCTTAATACTGTTGGACGAGAATTCGGTTTCATCATCATCATCATTATCAACATAGGACCAGGCATTACTGCGTAACGGTCCGAGTTGCCACACCTCATATCAGCACATCAAGTAAAAAGGTAGTGAGGTGAAGGATGAAGATAAGTGAATGCAGTCAAAAGAAATATAAAGTATGAGAAGAAAGGAAAGAGGAGTGACAAAATAGTGAGATTCGGTATAGCGTTGTTAAGATGAGGATAATGTGTGTATACATCTGCGCCACTGACTTCGGTTCTGAGCCATATCACCTAGGGTCTCCAACCACTGGTTCCTCTTGTCCCGTGGACCCCAACCACCTAGTCTGCATCGTCCTACATGGCTTAAACCAACAGTCAGAGACTTCATACATTGGTGCCATGTTTTAGTCTGGCCACCTCGGGCCTTTTTCCAGCCTGAACCCACCTCAGCCAACATTGTGTGACGAGGCAATCGGTGACTAGGCATACGTAGTACGTGTCCCAACCATCTCAGTCGATGAAGGTTCACAACCTCGTCGACTGACTTACCTCTTCTCCCTAAAACTCTACACCTAACTTCTGCATTACTCACATGGTGACACCACGGAATACGTCCTATACTACGAAGGCAACGGTGGTCAAATACCTGTAACCTTCTCATGTCTTCCACTTTCAATGGCCATGTTTCACAGCCATACAGTAGAACAGAGCGGACTGCTGTGCAGTACACGCGACCCTTAATAGACAAACGAATATCACGCGGTGGCGCAAATTGGCAAAAGCCAATCGAGCCTTTTGTATCCGTGCAGAAATCTCATCGGCAACTAACCCACCGGAGTTGATCCTACTTCCCAGGTAAGTGAAGTGGTCAACACACTCAACCACTTCACTCTCTATTGTTAACCGCGGTACCGCTGAAGACCAGTCCTGGAGCAAAAATTTGCATTTGGGTGGTGAAAATCGCATCCCAAACATTCTCAAATTCCCACTCAAAGTGTTCAGAAGACTCTGCATCTTGTCAGCGTCTTCACCTAACAGGACTATGTCATCTGCATATTCTAGATCTAAGGAAAATTCACCTGTGGTCCGGTCAACGTCTTTGTAATTAGGTGACGAGAGGGAAACCTCCATAAGAATATCTATGATAAAATTAAATAAGAATGGGGATAGTGGGCATCCTTGACGGACACCACTTGATGAGTATAGCTCCCTGGACAACTCACCATAGGCTCTAACATGCCCACAAGTGTTCGAGTAGAGAGCTTTCAATAAGTTGTGATTCGATTACTGGGTATCTAGTACCTAGACCGTTGATTCACAGTGCAACTATATGGTTCATGGTGCATATTTGACTGAGGTAGAGTAGGGATTAGTTATTAAAAGCGAATAGATTTGTTGAAACATTTGTGGTTTCTAAATCAAAGTTCGGTAAAAAGATAGTAACAGTAACAACAGGAACTGGGAAGAATCGTGAGACTAGCTGTTGCTTATTTATAACGTCTGCCTATGCATCCAGCTATTGCTGTTCGGATTATACAAAAGATGAATTCTATCAAAAGCTGGCAAGTTTTCTACAGAACGCAAAACTTTCAGATATAACTGTATTGGTAGGTGAGTCTGACACTCACTCAGGGAATCTGAAGCTCTGGGAAAGGCATATTGGATATACCTACGGAATCTTATGCTAACGAACTGACAACGGTTATTGTCTCTTGCAATTTTGTTCCAACAACCACTTGTTTCTGACCAGCACTAATTTTAAGCATTAGGAGAGACACAGTCTCACATAGCGTCCACCAACATCAAACCAACGAAGCACAAAGAAGGATCACATTGTTACAAACCATTGTTAGAGAGGGTCAGTGGAGGACTGCTGCTCTTTCTGGAGTACCAGTTGGGACCCCGACCACGCTCGTGTATGTTTGCATCTTACTGATAGCAGAAAACAGGCAGCAATGAAGCTTGTGCATGCTCGATTGGAAACGAGAACGTGAATTAGGTATTTAGAGGGGAGATAGCTAAGCAGTTATCTGAACGTAAGAGCAGTGCTCATCCTGAAGAAAAATGGCGTGATATTCAACCTGCTGTAGAAACAGCGGTAAAGATATTTTGTAACCTACGTTAAAAGGTTAACAAACATCAGCGGATTTCTACAACGTCATCTAAATCAATTGTTGCGAGACGGCTCATTCCAGCTAGCTCTGACCATAATGAGGAGCGAAGGCAACTTAGAAGTAAACTGACCATGAGTCTTCGCAACGGTCGTGAGCAGTGGTGGGTGACGATATTGAGACAGATAGAGAAGGCATCAGTGTTAAGTAACACCCAGAAACCATTTTGGCTGATTAAGCAAGACAATGGGTAATGAAACTATCACCGAAAAGGATGAAACGCTGAATACTTTTCAGAACAGACAGCTTCAACGTTGGGCCGAACACGTTGAAGCATAGTTTAAGGATGTAGGTACGGAATTGCTGAGCAGAGTAACGAAGGTATTAGGTATTGTATGGGAATCCAAGTTAATCCTGTAGACTGACCGTTCCTAACCATCCCAGTTTATAAGATATCAGAGAAGTCATCTTGTGATAAGCACAGGGTAGTTAGCTTAGCCAATATCGTGTTCAAGATCCCTGAGTCCATGATTATTCGACACCCAACTGGAGCCCAGAAACAGCAAAACAACGAACACTACAAAGGTTCCAGACCTGGATGAAGATGTTTCGATCTGATTTTCACTCGTCGACAGGTTATAGAACACAGATGTACCCTCCGGCGGCAAACACTGGCTGTACTTCTTGAAGTGAAGGCGATATTCGACTCTGTTCACTCTGAGACGTTGTGACAGTATCTGACTGTGAAAAAGGTACGGAGTACGTACAAAACGCTAGTCAAAGCTTTTTGTTCAAACTGAAGTAGCCGTGTAGAAGCTTGTGGAGAGTGGTCATCTGAATTGACGAGAAGTAGTGTTGTCCACCAAGGACGCTCACTGCCTCCGTTCCTGTTTAATTCGGTCACAGATCCACTGATGGACATAAATTCCGGTTCATCTAACTTCACATGGATTGATCCATTCCATGGAGTGTATGTGGTTCACTTGGAGCACGCATACGATATTGTCCTGCTAGGTAAAGTCGCTGATAAAATCCATGGTCTTCTGAACGCGTTGAACAGAAATCTGAGTATGTTTGGCATGCTTTTCTCACCTTCGAAATACAAAATGATGGTAATGCTTCAGCATTGGTCTGAAATTACTCTCAGTTTAAGGATCGGGAGGTGAGCGGTGGAATCTGTTGACCAGTTCACCTACTTAGAGAGTTACATCAACCGAAACGAGGTGGTTGCTAACGAAAACTCAACTCGAACACAGAAGGCTCGTCTGACAACACCTACTGGTTTACATCATCTCTGACGCCAATTTGCGAAATACCCGACTACTTGTCCAAAGACGAGTCTACTATGCTGCAGTTCATTCCGTCCTGTCATACGACTGTGAGACATGTTCGTTGGGAACAGAAAATATGAACGGAATTCAGGTTTTTGACCGCACGTGTCTTCGTAGCACTGCTCGCGCATTGTAGAATCATTCTGTGAGCGATGTAATGGTTAGAGGATAGGTGCTAGGCAAGGAAAGAAAATTGATCGATGAGACTATGAACCTTCATAGACTGATGTGGCTTGGACATGCGTTGCGCATGCTGAACCATCGCCTACCTCAACGCGCCACTCTGGATTCGGTTGTAACAGGGTTCAACATGACGAGACCAAGACGTGGTTCCAGTACACGAAGCGTCTAACTGTTGATCTCAACCGTGATTACACGTAAGTCTGCACCAAGATAGAAGTGGGAAAACCACAGCACCAAGGCCATTGCGAGTGCTGCTTGACCATGAAAATACTAAGACTACTTCCAGTTAGAAACTGGTCACACAGTTATCAGTACAGAGCAATACCAGTTATTCAGAAGAAACCTAGTTCCATTTAAAGTTTGTTGTAAAAGCAGTGTGAAAGATAATAGCTGACTGCCAGGAACTGGTAAGAAGGAACCAATGGGTCTCAGAAGCTTCTTCTGAATTTGTGGATGCATGCCCATGCACTCCGTGCAGGCTGCATTCACAAGGAAGAGCGGAAGCAACTCACTTGAATGTAGTCTGACTAATGGTCTACACAATGATCAAATCGCTAGTTCTCTCAAACAACTTTATCTAGTTTGATATCGCCGCTTTTCTGTCCGCTTGTTGTTTATGTACTCATGCTAACTGTGGTAACTTGAGCCGATGC